TATCATTTTTATTATCGTTCTATCATTGTTCTACTACCTTAAGTGATAACAGGATTTTGCTGAATTTTCTCCTATTTATATATATGTCCGACCATGCATGGGTTAGCCTCGAGCCTCTCCAGATGCAACNNACACGGAAAACGAGTGCTAGGTCATGTGCTGCTTTAATTTTCGAAAATTCCGCTGTACAATCCTGCAGTTTAAAGCAGGCGAGATCAATTTTCCCACTAACACACACGCACAGTCACGCAGACAATCCTCTGTGCGACCAAGCCATTCCTTGTCCTGTTTCCCATACCATTAGGCATCAATGCTCACGGGTTCGCAACCCTCAGAACTCAATGCACACGACCGTTGCCGAAACGATTGAATCTAATGCAATCGTATGAAAAGATGATTTTCAGCGTCAGGGTAGTGCCGCAGAGTGACAGAAGCCCCCGTTTCGCTCCTTTAGCCTTCTACTTCACGGAGGATTTCCAGGCTCATGCTCCGGATCGTCTCCAAAGTCCGTGTCCGCAAGCATGGCATAGTTGGTGCTCTTGGCCGTTCAGAGGCCAATAATAATCAGCCAGCGGAAGTTCTCCCATTGGCATGTTCATGGGTGACTGGCATCCTTCCTCACAACGCACCTACTGAAGAGGATAGAGCGTCGCTTTCGGATTTATCAGGAGGTTAGGCCTCTTTTTAACGCCTCCAGGAGATGGGCTTCCACGCTGAGGCGACGGGTCTTGGTTCTTCCACGTTGAGTTGCTTCTACGCGCTGCTTGGCTGTAAGGCGCCTGGTAACAGCACTGACAGGGAATGCGATGCGGTGACCAGTGACCTACAACCACATCAATCTCGAGGTGGTCCGAAACTTATCTGAATGAGTGGAAAACCATCCAAAGTCAACACGCCTCTATGGCTCCTGTAGACGCATGGGTTACGATGGCACCTCTTCAGTTTTTCATCCGGCAGACGGCGCAGCGCCATGCCGACCACCAGGATGGCACCGTGCTGGACTTCACCGCGGATGGAACATGGAGCCACCATGGAGGTACTTCGATGACCTCGCTTCTATCGACCGCAGCCTGATCCTGCCTTGTCCACAAACTCGCTTCATGACAATAGCAGCGAACCAGGAACTATCTGCGAACAGGCGGGCGCTGACCGTAGCGCTGTGCATGCAAAGCAGATGAGTAGGCTTGGTGGCATTGGGACGTTCCGGGCGGAGGCATGTTGGCCTGAAGCAGGTGACGATGCAGGTGTCGAGATGCTCCCAGACGGCACACTTGCTGCCGTTTGTCCTGATGACCACTTCTGGTCTCCGACCTGCCGTGAAGATTCGACTCGGTGTGTGCCTTATATCACTGGCGGCTCAGGTTGGAGTGGAGGATTTGATCAACCTGCAAGCCAGCAATCTTGGAACGAACATGAATCACACATGTCCAAAGAATTCATCGATTTTTTCATGTACTCAACCGTGCAAAAGGTTTCTAGTTATAACGTGGTCGACGCTACCTCGAGAGCTGCACATGTTCTTCTGCTGGTTTCTTCCAGATACTACGTTTTTGGATCTTGATCCAGTTGAGATCGTGTTTCCACACCAATGGTCAAGCGCACTGTGGCCGCGTCGACCGCAACTACCAAGATCGTCAGCCAGGACTTGGTCACCTCAGCGCCCTCGGTGGAAGACCTCGTGCGGAACTTGCGATTGGGCCGGGCTCGACAGCCAAGGTCGCTGGTTACAGTCGAACCCCAGCTGGGAGAATTGGCTGCCGGACCGCACCAAGTGCTCCCCCGGCTTCGGCCTCTACGACACGACGCAAGATACCTTCATTGGCACACGTGCAGACACGACCTTCCTGGAGCCGTGCTTGCGTGTCCGGAAGACATGCAGCTCCATTGTATGATCCTGCAGGGATTACCCATGTGCGAATTCTGTGCGCCTGGAAGTAGCCAGGCATCGGGTGCAGCTTTGCAGTGCGAACCGTGCCAGCTGGGAAGTTACAGAACAACTCTGGCAGTCAAGAATGTATCGCTGCAAAATCGGTGAGTGCCAGGATGAGCCAGGTTCCAGCTGCAAGCCTTGCTCAGGTGGCACGACCCAGGTTTGGGGTCCACTACACTTGAGGACTGTGGGCTGCCCGACGGGCTTCATTGATGCGAGATGCATCGAGTGTGGGGAAGGCCGGGACGGTTTGCACGATGGGGTTTGTTATTGATTAAGAGCGACCACGATGCATTGTGTGACAGGCTTGGACTGCCCAGCGCTCGCCACGCTCCAGGGACTTCGGTCCGGCAGCTCGAACCTGGGCCCACAGTGTGGCGAGCATCCTTCCCGGATTCTACAGCAGCATGGCGGAGCCGCTGGACCTGTATCGCTGCGTCGAGGCCGCTACAGGCATGCGCTGTCCGGGTGGCATGCCCGCAACTTGTACGGGACTACTGAACAACACGGCCTGCACCGATTGCCCCAGCGGAAGGCACTGGGACAGGTCTGAGGGACAGTGCGAGGAGTGCACGCCCTGGCAGCAACTAGGTTGGATCCTCGCAGTCGCAGTGTTTTTGGCTGGCCTGGTCATGGTCTACTACATGATGACTGCTCAAAAAACGGCCAAGGCCTCCGTGCTCTTTACAACGACATGTGCCTTCGGGATGACCATCTCGTCGCTACAAGCCGTCGGCATCATTGGGACGATGACCGTTCGAGTACCTGAAGGTTTGAAAGACATCTATGCATTTCTTCAGGTATTTCTGCTGGACTTTGATAACTTTGCTTTCACCTGCGTCGCAGGTGGTTCGGCCCCCGCTCGCTACATCGTGTCGGTCCTTGTCTTCCCGGGTGCTGTGTGCTGGCTCGTGAGCTGCCACTACACATCGAAGCTCCTCCCCAAGAGGCTCCGCTGGGAAGGCAGCAAGACGAAAAGCACGATTGGAGCCTTGCTACAGCT